CCCGCCGCATTTTTGCGCCTGTCGCAAGTCAGGAGCCTCCAGTCTTTGTTAGTCTTTAATGTTTTTTTTAATTTTAGTTCGTTTATATGTTTTGGAGTTTAGTATGACGTCCATTTGCACTGAACTAGTACACATTTTTTATTTAGGGGTCAGCTGAGGACCACCTGCGGGTGCGGGATTTTCTCGCTGCGTTAAAGACCCATTGGTGGCCTTCGGCTGTTATCTGCTCTTTGGCCGGGTTGTTGCCTCTTTGACATATTCCCCATTTTAATTCTCAATTTTATTGTATTTTTGGCTTTAAATTCGTTCAAATTAATGTAATTTTTATAAAGTATGTGATAATGGCAATTCTTGTGTACTATTTCTAATATATGGTGTTAATATATAATTATGATATAGATAGTCACTTTTCATTTTAGACAAATTAACTCTCCAAAGCAGTCATCACATTTTGGTAAGTTTACAGACTACGGTCAGTTTTCACACTTTTATGTGGACTAAAATACAATTATATGCAATGCAAATTATTTCGTTCTTATTGAAAGAAACACTTTTATTGCACTGGAATTTTGTGTATGAGCTATGCTGGTCACAAATCGTTTTTTTTTTAAAGAAGTTAGAACCACACAGAAATGTTTTTTTCGATAGCATATTTGATTTATTTTTTTTCGTATTAAATGTTAGGACATATACTAGTTAACAAAAGAAACGACACAAGGCAATGTATTTTCATATATAATCAAACTGGATACACTGTACCATGGTAAATATTTGCTCAATTGGTCTAATATTTACAGAGTGTTATTTTTTTTATCAAAATCATTGATTTAAGGCAAATACGCGAATTTTTTTTTTTTTTTTTTTTTTACAAATTTTGTTATTTCAAAAATCGTATTTTCACCCAAAAATTCAAAAATCGATATAAGAACTTAAAATTTTAAACTTAAACATTGTCTGATTAAAATTTTGAATGCCTTTGCAGATATTTGAATACTTAATTCTCATCTTCGAAATTAAGAGCCGATTTTTGTCACCATTTTCCGCAAAATAAATTTGACCCCTGTGTTCAATAAAACGGTATATTCCAACTTTTCAATTTGGTCAAATTCTTTTAATCATATGCATTTGCTTTGCAAATGAATGTTTTTCATTGGATAATTTAACAGTTTTTCCTATTTATTATATTTCATGATAAATTGTAATTCAAACTTGTGTATCGTGACTTTTGTTGACTGGTATATTACTCCTGAGATATTTTATTACATCTATTATTAAAAACAATCGTATTTAGAATCCAGTTCCTCAATGTGATGAAGATATTGACTTCCAGTCTTCGACAACAATGCTCGAAGCTTATTGGAGTATTCCATCGACAGCCAATAAATTTGTACAAAATGCATTTTGGGGAGTTGATGAGAAGTCTCCAGTTGGAGGTAGGAATAAAAAATCAGGAATTTCTGAATAAGAAATAGTGTCTTTCATTAGGGGATTTACCTTCTAATACACATTCATTAAGATGATTATTATATGACCATCTTCTTATTTGAAGCGTGTTTGTTTGAAACATATTGCAAACGTAGTCTTTACTTGAAGTAAATACATAAGCAAAATTCTAAATATCGATATCTGGTATATTTATTCCTTCATTAGATAAAAAAAAACTATACTAAACTGCATCCCATTTATTATTATGTTAACTATTTATTCGTGTTATCAACACATTACAGAATATTAAATTTCGATTTACATAGTATTCTTCAGTTGAGGGGAGACACTATTTTTTTAAGAAACTTTGAACATTCATGCTGTTTATGAACTAAACATTAAACATATACTTAATAAGTGGTATCGCAATGTTAATTACGGCAATGTACTTCTTGTTTCTATGAGATTCGAGGGGTCATACTATATTATTTACTTCAATGGTACCTGTAATAAAGTGTAACAAATAGTATCTCCTTACAATGTAATTAAAGTGATAAAAAAGGGGCGAAGGATACCAACGGGACATTCACACTCATAAGTCGAAAATAACCTGACAAAGCCATGGCTAAAAAAAAGAAAAAGACAAATAAACAACAGTACACAAAACACAACATAGAAAACCAAAGACTGAGCAACACGAGAACTTGGGGAGATCGCAGGTGCTGAAGAAGGGTAAGCAGATCCTGCTCCATATGTTGCTCCCTTTGTGTTGCTCATGTTAGTACTACAAACACGGAAATAAGTCTAATTCGGTAGGTCATTTTCGGGAAAAAAGGGGGACGGGATTGTAGTTACGACAATTTGAACATATTCGTTGTCATCTGTGAAACGGATATTCCATAATGGTCAACCAACCCCCCGATGGCGTCCGTAAAATTTACGAAGGGACGATTTTATGAATGATTATATGAAATGCAAGCCCTGGAATATCGTATCAACTGGGAGATATATACTCCGTATGCAGGCGCTGCTAGAATGTTGCTACAAAGAAATTGAAAGTGTTCACAATTGGGAAGCTGAAATCATCTCTTTTGTCGTAAAGGTTTGTTTTCAACCGACGATCATTGTCAATTTCTAGATGCAATTCAAGACATGGGGCCGACTTAACTGTATCTGAACTTAAAGTTCTGTTATAGATAATGCATATTTTAAGGTTGTTCTTGTCATAGAACACACCGAGGGGTGTCAGGATTGATCAAATGAAAGACCGACCGTTGGGAGGTCTTTCTTTAGGCAATCCTGACACCTCGAGGTGTGTTCTACGACACAAAAAAACCTTAAAGTATGCATTATCTGACTTATATACCGTCAAAATAATATTGTTTTTTTATAAAGATTTGCAAAATTTAGCTTCCTATTTTACCGACCACACTAAAGTGGGATATTCCTTTCTAATGCGTTCAGGTTTTAATACGCCCTACGGGTCATTTAGAATGTGAAATAAAATTCACTAATTAATCTAGATATAAACCTTAGAAATTATTATCCATACACAATAAAAATATAACTGTAACTGGATGAAGTAAGACACAAATGAATCGTTACCATCTGATAAAGGTGTATGAAAAATACAAGACACTTTGTAAGTTATTTTTTGTACCAACTTAGTTTATGGAAAGGGGGAGGTGCTATAAAAATTTGTCATGACATTTTATTGCGGAAAAGTGATTATTTTTTCAACAATTTTAATTGAATCGAATGAAATATTCAGAATGATTTTCTTTTGATTAGCAATACATTTTTTTAACAGATAATCAAGATATAATTATATACCCGCCCCCCACCCGACCTCATTGTGAGGTACGTGAATGTTATTCAATAGAATATAAGAATATTTTATTAGTTTATCATTTGAAAGAGTAAAAGGTAGACATAAATGTAAAAAAGTTAAGAACTGACACGAAGAGGGCACGAAATCGTGATATATGTACATGTTACACGAAAACGAATATCAATACATGTAGGTCACACTATGATTTCCTATTTTGTGTGTATCGTCCTAAACATGCATAAAATATTTGCCACTGGACGTTAAGTAACCATTAATCAATAAACCTATTCAGTGTGGATCAATACGATTTTCAAAATCTTACACACGAATATGTTTAATCTGGCTTTATTTTAAAGTGTTATGAAAATTTGACATTAAAATTCATCTCGCATATATGATAATATCTCTGTATTGTAGCGATAAATTAACAAAACTTCACATTATTTGTTTCTAAAATTAAAATTCAGGCAAAATCGATTTTTGTTACACCTATCATAGATTGACTTTAAAAATTAAATTCCCAAATCGGCAACAGAAACTATCAGACGAATATAATTTGAGGTAGATTATAGTTTGCATTTTTATCAAGGAAAATAATTACCTCACACAGGTCATTATTTTATGCCTTAGAGCATATTTCATTGAAACATGGTATCGTCCGGGTTGATTCTTCGAAAGAATGACCTATCGTTATGAAAGAAAATAACTCCATATAGGTATATAATGTATAAAGTCAGCCTCATATGAATAAAGGAATGAGTCGGCAAGGCGAGGAACATAGTCGGTTCCCATGGGAATTCCAAGTATTTGTTGAAAACACGTCCTCCAAACGTAACAAATATATCAATCAAGAAATCAAGCATCTTTATAATATCAGTTTCAGAGAACTTTTTGTTATTCAGCGTGATTTTGTACAAAGTACGAGTTATCCTTCCCGAAGACAAGAAACTTGTATCTACGTAGGCCATTCTTTTTTATCAAACAAAGCAGGACCTACTCTTTCAATTTGTCTTTTAGTATGGGATAGGGAATACTTGTGTAAAGTGTAGAAAAGTGAAATGTTTTGATACTATTGCAAAATAAAACAGTCTTAGATTGTAAGTACTCTAGAAGATTTTTGGAAATTTTTTATATCCGGATCTGATTCACGCCAACTCTGTAATAGGAAATTTCACAATAGCTTTGTAGCCCGGATTGTTGATAACACGGATGTTAATGATTTAGAAAGAGGTTTCGTGGAGCACTTGGGACTACCAAGAAATATAACGTTGTTTGTAAGGACACTTATGTAGTTTAGGTATCCAATACAGTGAAGGAAGATTCAGTTCTTCATCTTTTGTTACAATTCCACCGGAACATAGAACAGACCTATGATTATCCAGGATTCGTCGGGGTATATATTTTGAGTTTCCAAGTGAATTGTCAAAACCCAATAATAGTTGTTTCGGTAGTCATCAAATTGACAAAAGTACAGTAATTGTTTCCATGGTAATGGAAATAACATAATAAATCACTAGGAGCTATGGAGTTTGTTTTGCAATGGTGTTGTTAAATTGTCTTCGACCTGTGATTTTATGTAACCGTTTTGTATATTCCGCCTTTCTTTCTAGTTCCACGAATATAGGCTATGTAAGGTTGGAGTTAGAGTTTTGGCGTATCGCTGCAAGTATAACGCATCATTGCACTACTTATATTTCTTAGATTACTGGACTGATTTTCTTCATATTATACTTATATTTCTTAGATTACTGGACTGAATTTCTTGATTTTACTTACATTGGAAACCATCATAGAATGACAATCGGATATTTGAATCTGGAGCCAGGTTTGACTTACAGAATAAAGGTGAAGTTTTGTGCTGATTATATATGTTTTCCAATCATGTACAGTAATGGAGTAACTATCATACCTAATGCACCAGGGACAGGAGGACTATCAGTAACGTTGGATAAAAATAAGGTACACACTCTTCTCTATTTGTAATGGGATATTAAGTTCTCAATGTTCTTTTTTTCAAATGTGATATGGTGAGTTTTATAATAAGAATTACGCTTTTTATAAAAAACACATTCTTTGTGAACAATCAGTGATTACTAAATAGAAAAATGTTCTCAATACTACGTATGCCATGGTAGGATAATCATACAAATCTATCGATTATCGGTGAGACAGTAATGCTGGTGTTAGACTATCAATCGACGAAGATGCCAAATATCCAGTGGTTAATGTTTAAAATAATTCATCTAAACTCAACTCAAGACAAAAAAAGACTGTTTCAATTTCCAAAAGCAGCTTTCTAATTATATTTTATTTTTAGAAGCACATGAATATTTTGTACAGATATATCAGTTGATACAATATTCCAATAGCTGTCCTGATTTCGTATAGCAAATTGTCTATTCAAATGAAACTCAGTATCATTTTGCAGTTCAATTTCTGTTCTTATGTACAAGTAAAACTACAATGAAACTAAAATTCTTTGCAGTATGAAAATACACTGGTCTTTACTTTTAACATGTATTTTTCCTCTGTATATAGATGAGTGTTACATGTGCAAGAATGTACGATCCCGATCTTGAAGATACACAAGAGGCATTTAATGCAATCGAAAAATACGAGTGGACTTTAATAGATGGCAATTCTGGTGGAATGTATGTGAAATGGCAGAACGTGAACAACAGCAAAATTATCAATGACACTCATGTAAGTATAATGTTTAATTGAATGAACTAGTTTAAAAAGTAAGAACACAAAACATATACAATGTGATGAAAAATACTACTTCATCAATTTCGTGTGTCCAAAGCACTTTTCTAGATTAACCTGCATCAGGAACGCTTTAATCTAAACATTTAATTATGAATATTTGCTGTCTGAAATCTTCATGATATTCAGGTGAGCTTTATAGACCTTGATGATTAACGAAGTTTCCGTCCACCATTTAGTTTTTCCTTTCATTTGCGTGCAGTAAATATGATAAATCATTTGGTTAAGTACAGTTTTCATGTTTGTTTCAATAAACACCGACATTTTGTTTATATTGTTAAAAGTCATGATTGACGCAAATATATAAATTACTTTACAGTTCAGTTTTGTAATTCAACTATCAGATGACATCAGTTTTTATAAATGCAAAAGGATATCTGTGAAAGGTACAAACAAGGTTGGAATAGCATCAGAAGTGTCTACAGATATCCAACTTTGTGATGTTGCTGATGGACCACGACACATTCACCCAAAACTTGTTATAGATGCTCGTGGCGAAAAAGACACATCTTCAGGTATCACATTGAAGTAGTGAAAACCTCATAAAGTTATATAGCACTATTTATTTTACAAATAACCATTTGTATAGATAAGATTGTTTTACTACAATAGAATAATTTTGTAACTTTCTTAAAATTTCAAGCCTGGTTTATTTGAACAGCTTTGTTCTAATGTTTAACGGGTTTCAATGACGGTTACCTTGAAAATGGTTTCCAGTTCGAAAATCATAATCTATATTTATATTTAGGATACTAGACAAAAAAAAATGACAATCGTTTTAATCAAAAATAGATTTATATTCCTATATAACTAAGCTCGAAGTAAGATTATTTGTTTTAAGAAAAAAAGTATATCTATATTTATATCTTACTGACATTTGACAGACCTTGAGTAATTGCAATTTATTGAATAAAGTTAAAGAGCTGTAATGTGATTGCAAAAAGGCAAATTATCATTCAACAGCGAAGGCACTCACTGTTATATAATTTTTTTTATCATTCATGTCCTCAAGTATTTGTAGATCACATCTTCGGCTTTCCCGACAATGTACGTATATCGTATTTATTATACATAAAAGAAAATGACAAGTTCACATGAATATTTTTATTTCCAAACTGTTGTCTGAACTATGGAAATTGGCATAGGGCGGAACCCCAAGGGGTCTAATAATAAACTGCGTTAATAGTGATTTTAGCAAAGGTGAGAGAAAATACCAAGGCCGCATTCGAAAATCAGAAGTCCAATAAAAGGACGAAAGGACAAACAACAAGTACAAACATTGTAAAGAAAACTTTAAAAAAGAGCAACACGAACCCCTCCACAGAGGGGTGAACTCGGTTGCTCCAAAATGGAAAGTAGTTCTTGACCCTAATGTGGTACTCTTCTTATTGCTCAAATGAGTAACAATACGGTAATACGTCGCTTTCAGTAATGTCACAATCGAGAAAAGGAGAACGGTTTAGTGGTTTTAGAACAAGTGGAGCATATCCATAGTTGTATGCGATACAGATATTGCATAATGGTCAACCAAACCATGATGTAAAACTTTCGTAGAGATTTTTTCAAATTTATAACTTGTGACCCTTATTGCAATGGCTTCCTTGTAAGCATCAATCCTCCATCAAGGAAATCATGGTAGAAAACGCAAGCTCTGGAATATCGAATTAACTGAAAGATATAAATACTCCTTATACAGGCTCTGGAAGAATGTTACAACACAGAAGAGGCAAGTTCCCAGTTGGAAAATTGATATAATCTCATTTGTCGTAGAATTTATTTCTGAACCGATTCTCAACTTGGTGGTGTTTGTGTTGCTGAGTCTTTAATTTTCTATCTTTCTTTTGTATACTGTTTGTCTTTTGATCGATTCTTATTTTTTGGCATGACGTCGACGTTGTCAGCTTGTTTTCGACTTATTAGTTTGCATATCTCTTTCGTATCTCTTCCAATAAGCAACATTTTAAACTGAACTTAATATTGCTATTTCAAACAGGATCAAAAGGCCGTAGATATTATAAACATAGTAAAAATCTTAATCCAATACATATTTGTCTTGCTACAACTCAGTTATTGCACATTTTGATCATCATGAAAAAACTTTTGGGACGCAAAAGTCATATTCGGTTTTGTTTCGTTTTTGTTTAATATTATTTAGTTGTTGTTATTGGGCGAAAGTGTAATTGAATGTAAAAATATTTTCAAAGTTGAAAAATTAAAATTTCTTTTAATGCATAAAATCTACATAAGTATCTTCAGCATTTAATTATAGAAACAAAATAATCTTTACAGAAACAAAAGGAATGGATATTCATCTAGAAACAAATACTGGATGGGATTTTCCTGATATAGATTATACACCATATAACAACATCATATCTGCTGTGTGGCCCACACTTCGCCATGGATTGTATACATGGGGTGTAATACAAGTAAAAGTCAATTATGCCTACCGATATTATAAATCTTTCACTGATATGGTTATCCAGGATCCTTGTTCACATCCTGATGTTGTATCGTGTGGAAAAACAGGTGCTCGAAATAGTAAAAATGTTGTAAATTTTGTTTTGTATTTCACATGTACAAAGATAGTTTCTCGCATTTTTTTTAAAATTTTAACAAGAAAACTACATATATTTGTTATAATCATTCCGTTATGTTTTGTCAATTCCCAATATTCAACCGTTCTTCGAAATAATTTTTATGTCAGGAAAGAGCCAATGATATATATGAAATCATTTGAATGAAAACCCCTATTAGCACAAGGACTTTTTTCCAATAAACAATCCATTCATTGTTCGTCATCTTGTACTGCGTAGTGTATGTTTCGTAATGTGACTATATATGAAAGTAGCTCTTTTGATGGCAAAATTTAGTTACATTAAATTTTGTGTTTCGCATTCTTTTTTTAAATGAAGTTATCACCATATAACCATAAAATACGTGTGTAGCAAATGATTTTTATTCATATTAGTTTGGTATACTGTGGTAGTGTGCTTTCCCTTTGCGTTGAGGTCATGAATATTATCTTCGGCGCGGTCGAACAAAATAAACTTTAAAAATGATGTTTTATTGCTAACACGGCGTGTAGAAATAGAAGCAGAGAACGGTGGGCTCGTAGTCAAAATACATATTTTTATTGTGAAATGTTACTTTTTCGTCTTGAACATTTAAAAAAAAAGCTCAACATGTCGGTCTTACACACATCAGTTATATCCTATTTACACGTTTTAATAACAGTATTAAATATTTGGAACTTGACGTTTAAGATAGACATCATCGGATTAATCAATCAAGTTATATGTCAATGAATTCAAAAACTGTTGATTGTATGCTTGATTTAGTGTGTTTATAATGCCCTCTTGATGAAATGAAGTATTTGGTTATTTTTGTAGATGAGCAGTACATAAATGTCATTTTAAACAAAACGAACAGTTTACAACATGGCCATCGTTATATTGTGTGTATTCATGCCAACAAGTCTGAAATCAAGTATGAAAAATGGACAGAAACACTTGAAGAAGTTAATGATTGTAGTGATGGAGTTACTGTTGACCTTACACCACCATCTCCCGGACAAGTATGGGCTGGAAACAATCCAAACTCAAATTACCAGGTACATTTACTTTTTATAACTACTGATTCTTATTCTTACCATCACGTTGACTCCAATACATAAGCATTATCTGAAAGGTCAGATTCCAAGATGCTACTATAATTCTGATGATTGGACTCTACAATACACGTTGAAGGCCTGTTTCTAATAGATTACAATGATGTTTAAGGTCGGAATGAAAAAAGACGACTAACCGTTGATGAATATATTGTCTTGTTGTATGATCAAAGTCCGAAGTTGTGGTTTCCAATCTCGTCCTGGTCAAATTCAAGACTTAAATATTGCCTTTTGCAGCTATTTTGGCTTTTATGAGTAGGAGCAAAGTGTGGTCGACTTGTGTCCAGTTATTGTGAAATATCTTTCTGCGTATTTAAAATCAGGCGCAATAGTTTGTGACATGGTTCATATCTATATGACATTAAGATTGATACATTTTCGTATGCAAATAGTATTTGTCAATGGACGTTAAAAACAAATATTTCATTCATTAATCCATCCGAAATAATATTCAAAAATTACATTTCAAATTATTTTTATCTTATTTCAGGTTGGGCACCAAAAAATACTTCTATCATATGTAAGATCTTAATCCAAATCACTACTGTGATCTCTAAGGTCGGATTTTAAAACATTTTTATTACTTTAGTATTTTAAATGTTGATTCGTAAACATTTCTATGATGTTTAAAGTCATATTTCGAAACACTTCTATCATGTTTAGACTCGGATACTAAAAATACTTCTATAATATCTACGGTAGAATATATAAGACTTAACCCCATGGGTTGGCTGGGGTAAAGAAATATTAATATCCTTGAAATTCTTCCGTCTGGGCATTAAATCCCCTGCTAAGGCCGGGAGCCTGTTTCGTTTTGATGTATGTATGAGCTCGGATTCACGTCTGCCTGGTCAACATTGGGACATCATCAGCATGTTAAGGAACCCTTGCAATAACTATGCAGTCCCTAGGTGTTGTTTTGCAGGGCAGCTTTGTATCCTCTATCAAACATACCCTCATTTTCCAGTGGAAAGGAAAATAGTTGCCTCTGGACGTGAAGCAAATAACAATCAATCAGCCAATATCATATTATATATATTTTATTTACAGACATCATCATCAGACATATCTATCACCTGGGATTCTTTTATAGATGTTGAGGAACATGATAAATCAATGCACTCAACCGGTATATCAAAATACGTTGTATCTGTTGGTAAGTTTAATTTTTTTGACAGTTGTATTCTTTTTATTGATGAGACATTATTGATTGGATAATGTAACATGATTCAAAGGTGAAATCGTTTTACTGCTCCATGTGATGTACACATGAAGTCATTTATAGTTTCTTGTTTTTTTCTTGTGATACAAAGAGAATTGATAACGACAAACGCAATACATTTTATTCTTGGGTAGCAAAAGTTTTGGATTTTGATGAAGCAACAACAACTTTTTTTTAAAGTTGGTTTAGGAGTTAAAATTTCATAAAAAGAAGGAACAGAAAACATCCAAATAAGTAAAAATAATTAAATTTGTTTTAAATAAGTATTGCTTCGGATAAGAAACAATTGTTTAGTGTATATTGTTTAACTTATAGGTTCAACGGAAAATGGAATTGATGTAATTGATTGTGCAGATGTCGGAATAACAAACCATGTTTCATTTCATGGCCTTAACTTGCAAAATGGACACGAATATTTTGTGAAACTAATAGGTAAAAGCTATAAAAGACAATGTCTTGGACATCTTGAAAGATCATTTTATTATTAAAAATATCGCGCATCGTTTAATATTCTTACCAAAAGTAGTACATTTGCAATAGTTATATTGTTTAACCCCTGTCTTTCAATCTATACTATGGAAATGACATAGGATTTTTTCTCAAGGACTACAAATCAGAGCTTACTGAAATTTGGTATTAGGCTTTATATCAGTATGATATACTGTTTGATGCATTTTTACATTCGTCGTTCTTTAACTTCCTGTTTATCGAATACTGATATTTTTTTTTGCATATATTTCACAGGTATAAACAAACTTAATATTAAATATTTCTCAAAAACTTCAAATGAGAACACACTGAAATTAAGTATCAACATTTATGGGAACAAGGTATACCTTGTAATGCGTTTAAGCATTAAACAAAACGAGTCAAATGAAGAAAATCATGAAAAGTGACGTTAGATGCTGCAAGTGTTTTAGAAAGCATTCAAAATAAGCACTTATGTTTGATCTGAATTAAAATCCAGTTTTATAAAAACAAACGTCTTTTTCAGGGTTTGTTATTTTTTTAACAGTATGATTATCAATAAAAGTAAACAAACGTTTTTAAGTTTGTAATTTCCAAGTTTTGGTTTATATTAAGTTAAAACTTATTGACATTAAAATTTAAATCCTATACTTTTTTCATTAATAGGTTTTGACTTTTTGGATAGAAATACCACTGTTCATGCAAGTCCTGTAACAGTTGATAGAACACCACCTGACACTACGGGCATGTCGATAACAATTAACGGAAGACATATAACAAATGCAAGTGAGATAAATGCCTGGTAAGTTCTTTGCTATAGAATGCACTTAATCTTTTTCATGAGGTCATATTTAATAATTCTAGTAAATTTTTCTTGAAGAAACATTTCTTTCCATCAGTAAATGGAACTGATAATCATTACATGAGGAATATTATAAACTTTTAAAACAATTCAAAGTTTTCTTTAGCACATGATATGAAATCCAACGGCAGGACCCTAGTCCGTTGATTGCCTTTATTTCTTACTGAGTAATGTACGTTTATAAAATTGTTTAACATTCAGTGCTTTCTCATCTTATCAAATTTTTGTTTTAACTTTAACAAAATCTTGGAATACCTTTATGACTTCTTTTATACAATATAAAATCTCCAAATGTCTTACAAACAGCTGTCTCATTTACCTTTATTCAATTTTGTTTTTGCTCACTCTTCTTGTCCATTTTTAGCTCACCTGGCCATTGTGAGATTTTCCTTTCACTTGGTGTCAATTCAATTTTACAAATTTCTTCTTTGAAACTACTGGACCAATTGGAACCAGACTTGGATACAATCATCATATGGATGTCCAATTTAAAAAAAATACTAATATGGCCGACATGGTTAAAAATATTTAGTTTTTCGTTTTTGTCTATTATCCTTAAAACTGTTACCAGCCCAGAAGTCAGCACTTCTGTATTGACTTTAATTATTTCAGAATTTTGGGTCCTTGATGCTTTTCAAGTTCGTATTGTTTTGGCCTTTTATCTTTTTTTAATTGGAGCGTCACTTTTGAGTTTTGAAGACAAAACGGCATCTGCCGTGCATTATTATAAGCCTGGTACCTTGTTGATAGATCGAAACTTTTAAAGCAAAAATGATCAGTTATACCAGATCTTCATAAACTGTCAGTTGTTTTCTTATAGGAGTAATTTCTCTTAAATGCCAATGTTTTCCCTGTTTTATGTTCAGGGCAAAAACTGTAGAATATAAAGAGAAATTGTAGCAGAAAAAATGATATCAATACTAGATCAACAATAAAGAGATTTTAGTCATGAACTATTTTTCGAGTCTTTTGTTGAAGTTACACATAGTTTGTGAGCAACAACGGTTCTAAAGGGCCTCTATTTTTCATGTTCTTTCTTCTCAAAATTAATTTTTGATTTAAAATGTTTAAAAAACTGTAGGAAATAAATGTATCTTCAAATGTTAAGAGAACGTCATACTTTTCAAAATAAAAAAACTATGAAAAACATCTTTGTATTTATCACGACGAGCTTCTGAGGATGAATAAAAAGAAGCTAGCTTTATTCTTTAACTTCACAATCAGCTATATCAACAAACCATCAAGGATACTAGACTTATAAGTGTTGTCATTTCACTTAATAATTCATAGTCGCATCTATCCAATTTTCCTAGAGCTTGTATTTCCAATCATGGTGTCCTTGTGGATTACTATTTACAAGGTATCTATTGATCCATGGGTTCGATATGAGAAGTTTTAGTCATCGCTTTGAAAATTTAACGGACACCACCACGAGTTGGTTGATCGTATTGGGATGTCTGTGTTAAAAATGACCACGGATATGTTCCAACTGTCAAAACCAAAATTCCGTTCTCTTTTTTTCGATTTAGACATTACAGAATGAGACTCATCACCGAATTTATACCTACTATGGGCAACATGAACGTTACCACTAGTGTAGTAGGATATATTGCTAACCCAGCCGGAACAATTGAGATCCCCAAGTTTTTGGTTCCTGTTGTTCAATCGTTACTTATCTACCTAGTGTTTGTGAACTTGTTTGTCTTTTCGTTGTCTTTCCTTTTTTTAGTGTTTGTGGCGTTGTCAATTTATATCGACTCATGGGTTCTGAATGTCCCCTTGATATCTGCCACCTCTTTAACTATAACATAAATGAGTTTTTATATTAAGACAGAAAATTTCGTTTTGGCAAAATCATTAACTTTGACATTGCATAGTTGGACTGGTGTATTTGAGGATCCTGAGAGTGGAATAGATTACTATGAATGGGGAGTTGGATCAAAAGCGGGACAGGATGACGTCATTTCATTTCAAATATCCTTACAAGATTACGCATCATCTGTAGAAGACAGTATGCAGGGACTTTATAATGGTCATTCATATTCTATATCTGTGAAGGTACGTTTTTATTACTGTAACGTTTCATATAAAGCATATGTATATATATATAATATCATTATGAAGTTATAATAGCTGAGATACTAAGAACAAGAGAGGTTAAAACAATCATAATCATTCATCTTCCGTCATCTGATTCGTAAGATATACCTAGTGGAAGTGTCAATATCATGACATACTGTATATTATATTTGTATTTAGTTCATTGTTTTTACATAAATCAGGCCGTTAGTTTTCTCATTTGAATTGTTTAACATTTGTCAATTAGTTTTTTTTTAAAGCTGACTGTGCGGTATGGGTTTTGCTCATTGTTGAAGACCGTACGGTGACCTATAGTTGTTAACCTCTATGTCATTTGGTCTCTGTTGGAGAGTTGTCTCATTGGCAACTATACCACATCTTTTTATTTTTCTATTTACGAATACCGAGCGACATCACGAAACACATTAGTACAAAGACAAATAAAGATAAAAATGTAAAGTAAATAAAATGGTACTCAATGTCAGGACGTAGAATCTATAACTCAAGACAATCCTGTATTACTACACATTTATGTATTAGATCTTGGTAATTTCCGATTATCTTTTTGAGAAAAAAGACGAGTCGTTATTGATAAAACACTGGCTCATTAATAGTTTGCAAAGACACCGAAAGAAAATATTCTGAAACTCGGAAAACAGTTATACCAAAAACTTGTTACACTAAAGGCAAAACTTGATTTCGAAAAATTAACGCGTATTTGGAATGGTCCAATTCATTGAAACCATCAAATATGGAGTCGTACTATTGTAGAAGACAGATGATTACAACACATTTAAGCCTGGAAAATTAAATGTATTTTAAAAAAACTCACAATATTTACAATGTCACCAAAAAGGACACAGTGCATAAAAGAGTCGCACTGAATTACTTATAAACAGACAACTGTCAAGCAATAAGAAGACACTTGGACAAGCTTAACGCACACAAAATTAATAAGAAAAATACAATAATATATCTTGTTGATGTGAAAAAATAAGTTACATTATTTTTTAAGTCATTTCTGTATTTCATTTGATGAAAGTGAGCTATCCAGTTTTTTTGCGGGTATGACAGCACTTGTTTATCGGAAGCGTAAGCGAGAGCTCTCAAAAATGTGTTACTCGTGTTATAATCTCAACTAAACCAGATGATATCGATTCAATATCAACATTCATATATTTTCGCCTTTGAAATGGACCAAAAAGAGAAATAGGATTAACAGCCGATTTGATTTGAACAAAAGAAAGTGTTTAACAATCTAAAATGTACAAATACGCAAAGAACTTACTTTTTAAAGTTTCTTAGAATATAGCTAAAGCGAACAAAGGATTATATGAGATTAGTTAATGTAGTTTATTGAAAATGTTTTTTTCATATTTTAGAGTTTCAATAAAGCTGGTTTGATGACTATAGCGTCTTCCTGGGCGTATATATTTGATATGTCACCTCCTGTAGCAGGACACGTTTACGATGGCATTAACGATACCAGCCCCTCAGATATCGACTATCAAACAGATATGTCTTCAATTAACGTACACTGGGAAGGTTTTCATGATCCGCACACAGTCATTAGGAACTACTTTGTACACATAGGAACGTGTTCTGGATGTAACAATGTTATGGAGCAACTGTATATTGGAACTCATAGTGGTACAATATATGATATAGTAACTTTCTGATGTAAAACAATATTGATATTTTATTTCATGTAGTCATAATATGTAATACGATATACAAGGACATGTTGGGTATACGTCAATAAAAAACTACATTCATATATAACTTTAAGACATCTAGATTTAAACATTACCATCAACTAGATAATTATTTCAAGATCTTAATAATCACAAGTCTAGAACAATTTTGAATGAATTCAAGAAATGCTATTTAAAATCTTAAGTCACGAAAATGCTGATACGAATGCTGTTCAACATCTTTCTTATGTGTCGAAATGAATTAAAACCTTTTAAGGAACACAAGAGTGGAATAATGATCGTTCAACCTATGCAGAGTATAGACTAATTTATATTATTGCATGTCAATAGCACGAGTATTCTGTTTCCTCATGGAAATTGTTTTGTTTTATTTGTAGAGTTCACATTATCACATATCCATCTTATTTCTGGGGAAATATATTTTTCAACTGTAACTGCATGTAACACAGCCAATTTATGCACATCTGTGACGTCTGACGGTGTTGTTGTTGACAACAGTCCCCCTACTGTTGGAATAGTACAGGACGGAACAACAGATGATGATATAGAGTATCAATCTGTCCGGTTGGTAACTCTACACCTTTCAAGTACCTCTATCATTACAATGTTGAGTAAAAGAACAATGCCTAATAAGGACCTGGCTGTACATTATTGCTAAATGATTTTTTTATCTGAACGTGAAATGTCGAGCGGATATAAAGACAATGCTTCATATTAAAGTGGAAGGAGTCTGTTTGTTTTTAAAATAATATATTTAGACGATATTGGAGATACCGAAGATAATTTTAAATCTCATAATATTGTATTGTGAATTTGTTTTTTTTTTTCTTTTTTTTTCTTGTTAAAGCATTGAAAAAAAATTGTAAATTCTAAAAATTATGGTTTCATCCTGTTCAAATAGCTTTGTACAAGTTGCAATTCATAATCAACGTAAGTAAAATGTAAAATAACGAAAACACCGAACTCCAAGGAAAATTCAAAATAGAAAGTCCTTTATCAAATGATAACATATTCTTGTAGAAGATTTTTTTTAAATAGAATGATGTTAACTATTTTGTTCTGCAAATGACGAAAAAAAAAGAAAACCTTCTATGTACTTGCATAATGTTTTCAGATAGAAATGAATAACATTGATTTATCATTTACTTTCAGAGTCATTCGAAAAATAAAAATAAATTTAATGTTATGCGAAATATTATATCACAACTAATTATATACTAGTATCGAGCAAACAATTTTGAAATTATTGAAATAAAAACACAACCATGGGTCGTCTTGCGTTCTTACAAGTGTTAATTTCTAAAGATTTTATTTTGAGTCGGATCCGGATCTTCTACTAGTTTTAGGTTTGAATTCGCGATCATAACTTGCATAACTAAAACGTGATTATTTTTTAACGTGCACATCAGTGTGTATGTCAAAACTGGTAACTATTTACAGAGCTTTATAAATCAACTATCTTTTTAAAACAAAATGATGCATTATGAGATATTGTTATATCATTATTTTTTACAGATATTATATTAGTGCAAAATGGTTCGGCTTCACAGACGCTCAATCTGGTATAGATTATTTTGTGGTTAGAGCAGGGTCAAGTCATGGTACAAGCGATATCATCACACCAACAAAGCTACCATTTACAGACAAATTTCTTATGACGGACGTACAATTACCTTTAGAGAAAAGAATCTATATAACCATCCGAGTATATAACAAAGTCGGTAAGGAATATCATTTTTAATATACAGTGCTTAGTTTTGAGAAAAAACTTATCCTACAGATCATTTTAATCATTGATGAACTTAATTGAATAGTGGAAGTCTACATTTTATTTAAAGAAATTGTGGTTTTGCTAATATTTATGTAAGAGTTCAAATATTATTCAAAAGAGCTGGATAAATGTTTGAATAAATACGCCATTTCTGTCATATAAAACCGGTAATGGTGAAACTGTGATATGATTGACAGTTTGCTAAGACCCACATGTTTCTTATGCTTTCAGAAGGATAGATATATTGACATTCTAAACATTTGCTCTTGAGTATTTAGAACAGTTTAAACGGTATTATGCGTGAAATGAATATAACATGTGTAAAAAAGTTTCTCTGATATATTATCCAAAGGACAGACGTGTCGATTTCTTACATTATCATTTAAAAATCAATAAATAAAAACGGGTGTAATTTTGGTATGTCAATTTCATATTAATCGCGCGCAACATCTTCCAAGACAGGCATATTGCATATTGCCAATATAATAATTCTTATAACAGATTTCAATAATAAAAACATTACATTAAAAATAACTACAAATGATACAGAAAAAGGATTACAGAAAATATAAAAAGAGGACAGCATCAACCCCATCACCCAATTAAAAACCGAACGACAAACAAAAATGAATGACTCATGGTCAATATAAAAAAGAAGATGTGGTATGATTGCCAATGAGACAACTCTCCACAAGAGACCAAATGACACAGAAAATAACAACTATATGTCAAGTCTTCCATAGTACTGACCCAACATATCGTGGGTTTCAATATTGAGAGTATCTGTTTCACAAAGTTGTCGTTGTTAACCTGCAGGACTGTTTTCCGAATCCACTTCAAATGGTTTCAAGATAGACTTGTCAGCTCCAGTGATTATAGCTAGACCTTTTCTGTCGCATGATCTAGGATCAGCAATAGATGGTTCTGATCAAGTTCGGTCAACAATGAGAATAAAATGGAACGTAGAAGATGAGCAATCATTTATTGAACGACAGTATTTATCAATAGCTACCCATATTGGTGGAGAATTTAACATGACATCTACTCAGGTAAACCACTTTTTAAACTATCACTGTGAATTGCACCCAAAAAAGTTGCACCATTTAAAAGGTGAGTCAGTAAACCCAATATTGCCTTAAATATAATTGGCAAATTGAATAGTCATGTTTAGCATGTATTTTTGTATAAATGATATGTTATTAAGGTTTTCCAATGTTTGTTCAAGTTTTCTATTCAAAATATGAAAAGGTAATGGTAATCGCGAAATAGCCAACTACAACTTTACATATACAATTATATAAAGGTATACACTATGTTGATAAACTAATTAACAGGGCAACATCTTTCGATTTTGCGGTCAATTAATGTTGAAAGAAATATGATTAGTTTTTGTTTTGCCTACCAAAATTATAAAGAAATAGTAAACGGGAGAGGAAAGCGACCAAACTGACATTCGAAATTCACAAATTGAAGAGAAACCATTAAAACCATCGAAAAAAAACCCGAAAACTACGATAGGATAAACAAAATCCTGAAGACTGAACATGAACCTTACCGAATAGCGGTTTTCAAATATTTAAATATCGTATAAGATCTTTTACTTGAAATTGAAATTAACAACTTAACAAACTACGTTCGATAACAGACGTGATAATCGTCCCATTGTCATCATATCAGTATTTCTCAGTAGTAACAAAGTTCTGTACAAACGTATGACAATTATTATGGAATTTTATGCGACTGTCATACAAGTAAGAGGTTTTGCTAGCTTTAAAACCTGGTTTAATCCACCATTTTTTACATTAGGAAATGCCTGTACCAAGTCAAGAATATGACAGTTGTTTTTCATTCGTTTGATGTGTTTGAACTTTTGATTTTGCCAATTGTTAAGGGACTTCCCGTTTTGAATTTTCCTTGGGGATCGGTATTTTTTGTTGTTTTACTTTTTACATATCTCAATCTTATGCGCATGCATATTTATAGTTTACGGAATCATTACAAGGAGTGTCCTCCTAAAGTAAAATCTCCTCCTGTAGGATTACAAGATAACAAACGACTTTAACAGTTTTACTGTCATAACTGTTTTGACAAAAAAATGTTACTGTTTCTCAAATCTCAAGAGACATGTTTTTGTGATCTGAAGACACCAGAAACATTGCCTGAGTTGTAAATTTACAAATGGTGTCGACATCCTTATTGGCAATTTTTACCAAGACATCGCGAGTGATGCAGGCATAACAGGAAACCTGTACCACCTAGCATGTTCGCAAACTATATATTTATTACATTAATTTGCATAGAAACTAATTTGTGAAATGAAGTACCAGTTGTGTGTCTTAATGACAGTCAGTCATACAGAATTGGTTATATACTAAAAAAGCATTATATATTTTTAATAAATTTCAGCTGAATGGTATTACAACTGGATATACATTGACTGGTTTAGAATTGCATGATGGTGGCATATATATTATTAAACTCATAGTATGTAATGGTGCAAAAATATGTGTTCAAACACATTCGGACAATATATTAGTAGATACTTCGCCACCAGTAGCCGGTATGTAAAAGGGAGCTGTGTGTTTTAATGTATATGTTTGTAATTTTAATTATTGTGGTTTTTAATTAATTATATGATGCATTGTATTGGTTTGTAAATAATACATTGCATCATTTAATTAACTATTTGACTTTATGTGATTCGCTTTTGATACCGACTACAAGTTAAAATGTTTTTCAGTCAATTGTAGTAATAAAAAAATATCGTTTTGGCATTGAAGACGTACATATTTTTCTCAGACTGTTAACGACGTTTTTACAATGAATTTATGTGTACTAGTTGATATTTTAGTTTTTTAAACAAGATTTATTATTGATATGTAATCAGGTTAGAACTTAGTTTCTTGTGGGGTTCGTGTTGCTCAGTCGTTGGTTTTCTATGTTGTGTTTTGTGTACTGTTGTTTGTTTGTTAGTCTTTTTTGTTTTTAGCCATGGCGTACTGATTTTCGACTTGTGAGTTTGATATCCTTCGCCTCTCTTTTTCAGTTACCGCTAGTATCTAAGATCGGTACTTTGTGTTATTAGTTGTTTTTGTACTTTTTGTCGATCTGGTGAGTCAAGCCCTTTTCAACTGATTTTTACAGTTTATTCTTATGTTGAGCTGTTACACCACTGTTCTATGTAAGGGGTTTAATCGCTTGCAAACATGTTTACAGTTGTTGGAAGCAGCACTTTAACACGTTGTTTACACTAACCAGTATATCCCAACAATTTGGCCCGTGCATCACTCGAGAGACATTTATTGTCGAAATGTGCATCTGTAGCAGTTAAATTGGCACCACTATCATTATTACATCAATTATGTCTTTGCTTGTAATTAATTGTCTGACTTCATTTGAAAAATAATAACATACTGTTTTATAGGAATGTTTGCTATAAGTACTTACCATGCAGCTGAATTAGAGCGACATACGGCTGGCTGGATGACTTGGTCTGATTACAGACTTAATATGTCCTGGATAGGATTTTCAGATATTCATTCAGGAATAAGTAGTTATTATGTATCTGTGGGCAGTGAATTTATGGCCAATGATTTAAACAAGGTATGCAGTATGACAATGTAGTCTTTTTTAATCATGATAAAATTAAAACATTCATTTTATCAAGTTGTCATCATTAGTTTTTGATACATTGTGTATAAAACAAATTATTGAATAAAACGGGTTGTTAGGGTCATTTCGACGAAATGGCGTCTGGATAACAAAATAATACCAAACGACACTTATAAAATTAATAAACGATGCAGGTAAATTAATTATCATTGAAGAATTTCGCTCATAAAAATTACAATTAAAAATAAATGAAATGTATAATTTTTTATCAGAAGAATAATTATTTCAGGTACCAGGAACTCCGATGATTTATACACATAATGAATCGGGTATACAGTATAAAGACGAAGGTCCACTACAGTACTTCACGGTTCCAACGCAAAAACTAATAAAGTATGAGGATATTTTTGTTAGTGTTTGGGCTGTAAACCAGGTACAATGAAATGTAGGATATAAAAACTGAAAATAACTTTCTAATAATTGTAGAATTAATTTCGGTTTCATTTATGTGAAGTGTTAAATTTCGAAGATACTGTGTATTATATAGCTCCTCGTGATAATAGTACTGCAACTGACCTCGAAAAAGACGCTTAGTTAACAAGTTTAATGTTCCGGAATAACACACGGCCGCAAATTGTTTTAAATGATGGAATAATATCTATATTTTATTTTCCGTCTGGTCGTAAAAAGTTTGTATGGTCACATTTTTGTATTTTAGCCCTTTAATGGGGTACCCCTCAATTTACGGTTTTGGGTAGTCACTTTAAAATCCCAAAACTAAATGTTTTTGTTAAATTTCCCGCCACTTTCGTAAAAATTTTCGATGCACATATCATCTAGGATCATTTGAATGATGAAGCCATAAATATAATACCATCCCCGAGTAAAACTTTCAAACTTAAAGTTGACTGTTTTCAGATGGAAATTTAACGCGTTTTTCTTTGAAAACGAGAAAACATATGATTCAAAAACAGTATTTGAGAGGACAAAATGTATTATTGCAATACTGCATGCAAATTTTGTTGGGCAAATTCCAAACAATTTTGTCAAAAACTCAAAAATAAAAACATCATTTGTACCTTTTTTAATTACGGAAATTTCCTATGCGTCAATCAGCTCCACCATTGATTTTTTCTTTAACAATGAATTTGATAGTTTCGATGAAATTATGTACATTTCTAGGATAAGTTAATTTATTTTTGAGAGATTTGAATATATATAGTAGTTCTTTCGTGTATTTTCTGTTAATAAGTTATATTTTAGTTAATAAAATTTTGACTTTTTATAAAAGTTAACCAAATCCTTCGGATAAGTTGTTTTTCCGGATAATGACTAGTTGATATTGTGTGGGAAAAATACATTGTATGTCAATGTTCAACCTCAAAGAAATTAATATGCATGCAAGCGGTTCGGGGGAAAGTACTATTGAAGTTTTGCAGAGATTTGGTGTGTAACAAGGTAATGATACAAACAACTTCTCTTGATATTCTGCTTTTCTTGGGCGAAAGAGTTGTGAATCATCAGTGATGTTATAAGACTTACACCAGAAGGCAAAATTGTTGCTTCTTTTAATTAGAAACAACAGAAAGCCATATATGTGATCAAACTGATGCACATGTATCCTCACAACCTGACACTTTTATTCGATCTCGCGCTCAGTTTCCTCCTTGTTGTTTGGCTTTAAAAATTACAGAAAACTACACAAAACTGAGTCGTCTGAACGTGTTGACGGTCATTTGAGGTGTGCTTGTGTGGGTGATCATTTATCCATGCATGGCATGGTAAAGATAATCGTGAGTACAAATTTATTTTCAAATTCAGTTTACCTTTCAGCATGCATCACCAAGTACTTATTGAAGTCAACACCTGTGTAATCAGGTAAAACAGTTACTAAAAATTAGAATTTGAAATTGGTTGTAAGTTCTGTTCTTTCATAAAAAGGCCTTTCTCATGTAGCACATCCTCGAAATATACCGATCACTTTCACCCAAGATTGTCTCTGATGCTTACCAAACTGCAAAACTCCAGAACTAACTAACTAGATATAATGGCACCTTACAATTCAGACACAGCAAGGCCAATGGATATCAAATATAGAGTTTAGCTCTGAATTCAATGTAGGGGATGCCATATCTGTTGTAGGAAAATTGAAGTCTATGTTAAGACTTTCAGAATTACACCAAGGTCTGTCTGAAGATATCAAGGATACATAAAAAGAAGAACAATTACTTCACTGTGCCGCCAGCGCTCTTATGAGCTCGTTGGATGTTTCTATGGAAAAGATGCCTGTATCGCTTTTGTAGTTCATTTGTTAGTTAATTGATAAAAAATCACACAAAGGCGCTTCTGAACCGTATATTGTCCCTAAAGATAACTTTGTACTCACATGTCTTTTGTGTTTCCTATGCAGAGGTAAGACTATACCTGACAAGCATTGCCATGCACGAGTTTGGCCGAATCAAGACGGTATTTTCGCTCCAGATAGCATTGTTGCAAAACACCAAGGGGGATGTTTGATACAAAAAGGTGCTGACAATATAGTCACCAACACGGAGACAATTGATAGTAAGGAACGTTTCATTCCATGGCACGCGCAGACTTTCAGGTTTCTCGCTGCATTGAGGACCCACTGGTAGCCTTCGGCTGTTGTCTGCTCTATGGTCGGGTTGTTGTCTCTTTCGGACACATTCCCCATTTCAATTCTCAATTTTATTATCAATCCGCAATTGAATCCAGAATGCGTCAGATGAAAGTGAAGAGAGGTCAAGATAACACTTTTCAATTGACTGACAGTGCATCATCGTTGGCGGCTGTTTCATTATACCAAAGGTAATAGAGGTCCTGTTCGTGTTCCGAATTCTTTCAAAAATTCGACCGGGAAGACAAAAATGGAAAAACCCCATCATTTGTCATGTGACAAATGTCATCAGATTACTTACAGGATTATCTTTGTACCTGCTAAGGCAAATCTTTGTGCTCAAAAGCTGTGTTTGCTTTCAACAAACTCTGTTGTAAATATAATACGCGTGCTGAATCCGCATATGATGACGAATTGATTGATTAACATCCCTGTTTAATATGGATGTCAACGAGTACTCGAGTACTCGAGTATCGCTCGGTAGTACCGAGTATCGAATACCAAAATGATACTCGACTAATCGGTTTTTGTTAGAATGGTGCACATTGCCATCTATTATGAAAAAAAAAATTATTAAGAGAAATTAATTAAAATCAAAATACGTTTAAAATGTTTGTTCTTTATTGTTAATTAGAGTTCCTCCTGGCAAAGGTAGGCTATAAACAAGAGAACATTGCCATGGCTTACGCTGATGACTAATCGTGTTAAAGTCATTCCATTACCTCAAATATTTTCAGCAGGACTGTTAGTTACGTTACAAAGTTGAGAAACGATTCGTCCAAGAAAAAGTTGATAAGATAATATTTCTAAAGAAATTATAAAATCTTTGCACCCTCTGTCGACCCTCCGAAAAGCGAAATAGTATTTAATGAAACTAAGGCTATTGTATTTCGCTTTTATTAGACAAGTTATATAAGGGTCATGACTGATTTTAAATTACAACATTAGCAAATTGACATTACATTGTATTATTTTCCATCACTTCTCTTAAAAATTGATGAGTCTACACTTTTTTGCACAGATAATCCAACTAAGACAATGTTCATGCACCAAACTGACTTTGTTTTACACTCAAACAAACGCTTACTCAATGCAAGTCACACATATGATTTTTTTTTAAACCTCGCATTCGCCTCGGTTGACTATGGTATTTTTTTGTGTTATAACTGATCTGTCCAGACTTTGCAAATACACAATATGTACTTATCTATAACTAGATACTAATTTTCACAAAATACACAACCTTTTAGATACAAAATTAAAAACACTGTTTCAGTGCTTGAATTTTGTTTTTTTCAAAGATAGAAAAATATTGAAATAGTTTGATAAACTGGTGTTTTATAGTTTAGAAAATAATTTTGTAATATACTGAAGTGAAAAAGCTCTGAATTCAATGTAGGGGATGCCATATCTGTTGTAGGAAAATTGAAGTCTATGTTAAGACTTTCAGAATTACACCAAGGTCTGTCTGAAGATATCAAGGATACATAAAAAGAAGAACAATTACTTCACTGTGCCGCCAGCGCTCTTATGAGCTCGTTGGATGTTTCTATGGAAAAGATGCCTGTATCGCTTTTGTAGTTCATTTGTTAGTTAATTGATAAAAAATCACACAAAGGCGCTTCTGAACCGTATATTGTCCCTAAAGATAACTTTGTACTCACATGTCTTTTGTGTTTCCTATGCAGAGGTAAGACTATACCTGACAAGCATTGCCATGCACGAGTTTGGCCGAATCAAGACGGTATTTTCGCTCCAGATAGCATTGTTGCAAAACACCAAGGGGGATGTTTGATACAAAAAGGTGCTGACAATATAGTCACCAACACGGAGACAATTGATAGTAAGGAACGTTTCATTCCATGGCACGCGCAGACTTTCAGGTTTCTCGCTGCATTGAGGACCCACTGGTAGCCTTCGGCTGTTGTCTGCTCTATGGTCGGGTTGTTGTCTCTTTCGGACACATTCCCCATTTCAATTCTCAATTTTATTATCAATCCGCAATTGAATCCAGAATGCGTCAGATGAAAGTGAAGAGAGGTCAAGATAACACTTTTCAATTGACTGACAGTGCATCATCGTTGGCGGCTGTTTCATTATACCAAAGGTAATAGAGGTCCTGTTCGTGTTCCGAATTCTTTCAAAAATTCGACCGGGAAGACAAAAATGGAAAAACCCCATCATTTGTCATGTGACAAATGTCATCAGATTACTTACAGGATTATCTTTGTACCTGCTAAGGCAAATCTTTGTGCTCAAAAGCTGTGTTTGCTTTCAACAAACTCTGTTGTAAATATAATACGCGTGCTGAATCCGCATATGATGACGAATTGATTGATTAACATCCCTGTTTAATATGGATGTCAACGAGTACTCGAGTACTCGAGTATCGCTCGGTAGTACCGAGTATCGAATACCAAAATGATACTCGACTAATCGGTTTTTGTTAGAATGGTGCACATTGCCATCTATTATGAAAAAAAAAATTATTAAGAGAAATTAATTAAAATCAAAATACGTTTAAAATGTTTGTTCTTTATTGTTAATTAGAGTTCCTCCTGGCAAAGGTAGGCTATAAACAAGAGAACATTGCCATGGCTTACGCTGATGACTAATCGTGTTAAAGTCATTCCATTACCTCAAATATTTTCAGCAGGACTGTTAGTTACGTTACAAAGTTGAGAAACGATTCGTCCAAGAAAAAGTTGATAAGATAATATTTCTAAAGAAATTATAAAATCTTTGCACCCTCTGTCGACCCTCCGAAAAGCGAAATAGTATTTAATGAAACTAAGGCTATTGTATTTCGCTTTTATTAGACAAGTTATATAAGGGTCATGACTGATTTTAAATTACAACATTAGCAAATTGACATTACATTGTATTATTTTCCATCACTTCTCTAAAAAATTGATGAGTCTACACTTTTTTGCACAGATAATCCAACTAAGACAATGTTCATGCACCAAACTGACTTTGTTTTACACTCAAACAAACGCTTACTCAATGCAAGTCACACATATGATTTTTTTTTTAAACCTCGCATTCGCCTCGGTTGACTATGGTATTTTTTTGTGTTATAACTGATCTGTCCAGACTTTGCAAATACACAATATGTACTTATCTATAACTAGATACTAATTTTCACAAAATACACAACCTTTTAGATACAAAATTAAAAACACTGTTTCAGTGCTTGAATTTTGTTTTTTTCAAAGATAGAAAAATATTGAAATAGTTTGATAAACTGGTGTTTTATAGTTTAGAAAATAATTTTGTAATATACTGAAGTGAAAAAGTATAAACAATATGAAAGTTTATGGATGTGAAAAGGTCAAGGCCACCTCTTCTTTTGCTATGTCATAAATGGCAAAAAATCAGAAGGTTCCAAATCAACGCCATTTTGTTATGGCAGCTCTTCATATAACTAGTCAAATTTGTCGTTTTATCATCGTTTGTAGTATATGCTTATGATTGAACCGTTTTTGTAGCATTCCATTGACTATATATCAGAAAATTTCTCCTTTTTGTCCTTGTAGTTGAAATATTGATATTTTTAGGTCTGACCTTTGACCTCAATTTTACAAAAATGTGACCACTCTGGATTTTTACGACCAAACTTTTCTTATTGTACACGTTTTCCTCTTTCCATCGATATATGATTTAGGTGTGTGTTCTTCCGGAACATTAAAGTTTAAAAAAATGAACTCTGGTTGCAGTACTATAAAGGATTAAACGCACAAGAAAATTATAAAAGTAAGAATGTAAACTACCTGCACTTTAAAGTAAAAGAGTACCTACAAGAAATACGATATTGTAAAGGTAGCCAAAAAAGCCAATGAAACTTTACAGAAAAAAATTATGACAGCACCTTTTACTTAAATGTTATAGTGACAATACAACTACTAGTATATTACATGCATATCTGAGATGGAGTTAATAATATAATAAAATGAAATGAACGAAGTCACAATATTTTGTATGGATAAACGTATTTTACACGATGGTATAGGTATTTTCTTATTTCTATATATTCCACCTTTTGCACCGTTCTTAAAAATACAATTAATGTATCTTTTACCTTCGTTGGGTCGGTATCACAAACGGTGTACGTTTGGTTTCCTGGGGTATACCAACCCAGTTGTTAGCAGTCCTGTGTCGACAACCAATTTCATTGATACGTCATATTTGTAGGTTAATTGTTCATAAAATTTATAAATCATCCCAAATTTGGCACAGTTATATTAGTATTTTTTTTTACTTCAGTGCTTTTTAACTTCCTAAATTATTTGGCCTTTCATATATTTTGATTCGAGTTCCACTAATGTGTCTTTGCAGAGGAAGCAAAAGTTTAGCGTACAAACTTATACATGTTATAGGCGTGGTCTTTATCATGAGTTTTTACATCATACGTAAACATTATCTTATTATAAGGTCTTGTTGTTCATATTTTGAGACCTGTCTGGATGTTGAGCAAGGGAAACGAATTCATTCCTTTTAAAATGTATCGCATAGGTTGGTTTATGGAGTAGTATGATTCACAGTCAGTTCCAGTTAATACCAGGCGGGTTTTTAGATCTCACCAGGCGATGTTCGGCGCATACATGCATTGGACATTGTGTCTGTTCTTCAAGAAATTCACACTGTGCTTCAAACGGAGACGCATGTAATGATATATCAAAAGGTAACCATATTATGTTACTTCATAGAAAAATACGCAATATGATAGAAAAATAAAGATAAAATATTTAAGATAACATAGAACATTCAACTTCTTATATTTTTACATTGTTTAATTAAATCTAAAGAGAAGACCAGTTGCGACATCAGATCAATTGTATTTTTTCTATTAAACAATTGAAACACAAACTTACTTCGCACATTCACTGATGCGTGATATTGTAAGTAATAATGTTCTGATATGTACTGTTTAAATTTATTTGAACATTAAGCTGAACATTAGTAAAACTTATACATACCACAAAATTATCAATTGATGAACACCTTTGTGAATATAATTACTCCTTCAATGTTTGTTTATTAAGTGATTACTATTGATAAAATAGCCAATTTGCCATTATGGTATACATTTGATGTTTAAAGGGGCATTAGCTGTCAAATTCATGTTCACCGATTTGACTCAAATTCTCATATTTGATTTATAACATATTAAAACGTGTATACAAATTACAATAAGTCTGAAATAAACAATTAACAATGCATAAACTCGATAACATATATCAGCATTTCGTGTGTATTTTAGTCAAGACGCCATCTAATTAACCATCGAGATGACCTCCGAAGACTGCAGACGGTCACATGACCCAATATATATAAACATAAACATAAATATAAATAGATAGCGACCTCGTGCAATTGGAATTTTCTAGGTCTGTTTGATTTCATGTATAGATTTAAAAAAAACTAGTTAATCGTCGGTTTTGCTTGTATAAGAATGATTTTTTGGTGGATCGAATCAGTCAAGTCAACGAAACGGTTCACTTTTGTTTCATTTTCAATGTTGACATTCTTTTCATTTTAATGGCTGAACACGACTAATACATGCGTAACCAATCTCTGGCTAATGGGTTAAATTGAAGGTCACATGAATACGGATTCAATGAGGTCGAATTATTCACTTGCAAGTGAATAATTCATCAGTGATGTTTCTTAGCTTATTTTGACAAGATTGAACTAAACTGGCTGCTAAAAGCGAATTATTAATCCACTATTTAACTTTCATTACTGATTGAACAAAAAAAAAATCATGTTTTATTTTTTTCTTATATCTCGTAACTAATGCCCCTTTAAAACCTTATGCAAAAAATATGAAAACTGTTTTTACACAGTTCTGAACTAATCAGAATATGAACAACGAAAAATGTTTTAAAACTTTTTGTGTTGAACTTTATACTGTTTTCTGTATCAGTTGACACTAACACTCTGCTGGAAGTGTTTGATATTACCTTCATATTATTGTCCGTGTCGGTTAAAACTCTGCTGGAAGTGTTTGATATTACCTTTATATTATTGTCCGTTTCGGTTAAAACTCTGCTGGAAGTGTTTGATATTACCTTTATATTATTGTCCGTTTCGGTTAAAACTCTGCTGGAAGTGTTTGATATTACCTTTATATTATTGTCCGTTTCGGTTAAAACTCTGCTGGAAGTGTTTGATATTACCTTTATATTATTGTCCGTTTCGGTTAAAACTCTGCTGGAAGTGTTTGATATTACCTTTATATTATTGCCCGTATCAGTTAACACAAACACTTTGTTGGGGTGTTTGATATTACCTTTATATTATTGTCCGTGTCAATTAACACTAACACTCTGTTGGGGTGTTTGATATTAGCTATATATCATTGTCTGTATCAGTTAACACTAACACTCTCTTGGAGGTATTTGATATTACCTTTATATTATTGTCTGTATCAGTTAACCTAACACTCTGTTGGAGGTGTTTAATATTACCTTTATATTATTGTCCGTATCAGTTAACACTAACACTCTGTTGGAGGTGTTTGATATTACCTTTATATTATTGCCCGTATCAGTTAACACTAACACTCTGTTGGAGGTGTTTGATATTATCTTTATATTATTGTCCGTATCAGTTAACACTAACACTCTGTTGGAGGTGTTTGATATTATCTTTATATTATTGTCTATATCAGTTAACATTAACACTCTGTTGGAGGTGTTTGATATTACCGTTATATTATTGTCCGTATCAGTTAACACTAACACTCTGTTGGAGGTGTTTGATATTATCTTTATATTATTGTCTATATCAGTTAACATTAACACTCTGTTGGAGGTGTTTGATATTACCGTTATATTATTGTCCGTATCAGTTAACACTAACACTCTGTTGGAGGTGTTTGATATTACCTTTATATTATTGTCCGTATCAGTTAACACTAACACTCTGTTGGGGTGTTTGATATTACCTTTATATTATTGTCCGTATCAGTTAACACTAACACTCTGTTGGGGTGTTTGATATTACCTTTATATTATTGTCCGTATCAGTTAACACTAACACTCTGTTGGAGGTGTTTGATATTACCTTTATATTATTGTCCGTATCAGTTAACACTAACACTCTGTTGGGGTGTTTGATATTACCTTTATATTATTGTCCGTATCAGTTAACACTAACACTCTGTTGGGGTGTTTGATATTACCTTTATATTATTGTCCGTATCCGTTAACACTAACACTCTGTTGGAGGTGTTTGATATTACCTTTATATTATTGTCCGTATCAGTTAACACTAACACTTTGTTGGGGTGTTTGATATTACCTTTATATTATTGTCCGTATCAGTTAACACTAACACTCTGTTGGAGGTGTTTGATATTATCTTTATATTATTGTCTATATCAATTAACACTTTGCTTGGGTGTTTGATATTAACTTTATATTTTTTTTCTGTATCAGTTAACACTAACACTCTGTTGGAGGTGGTTGACATTACGGATTTAACATCGTCGACAGAAATCAAGTTTACACCAAGTAATACCAACCTTGCTGCTAAATGGAAAATATCTAAAAATCAAGGATTACAACCCCAGTGGTAAGATTGATATGCATGTCATTAAAATAAATAAATACGGATTAAAGTAAAAATATAAAGTAATTTCAAGAGTACAAGTTGAAACATACTTTTAACGAACTCCATAAATTTATTTATTTTTTATCGACATGTATTCTACCATAATGATAACAACAAAATATAATTCTGGAAACGTAGAAACAATTGTAGAGATGAAAATATTGCACTCTAATATAGTCGATGATATTTAAATAAAAAGAGGATATATGACATACATCTTATACATACTTGTAAAACATCAGAGTAGCAGCAAAAAGAAATGTCGATTCCCAATTTATATTTAGGTATGAATGGAGTGTAGGTTTAGCTTCAATGGAAATGCCAGAAGGTGTTATTAATAGCTTCATTGATCCCATATGGCATCATGTTGGACATAGCATGGAAGCTGTTTACTCTCTACCAAGAGGTAAAATCAAATATGTGTTATTAGAAAGTTTAAATAAATAATACATAAAAGGAACTATCGCTATAAGTGTTTTCATCCTTTATTCTGTTGATAATAGAACAAACTGTTTTACAAATTAGCATATGAACAAGAATCATTTGAATATTAAGCTTTCTGTTTCTAAAATACAGAACATTTGTTGTTCGACCTGTTAGTCAAATGCGTTTTGTTAAAATATACTTTTTCACTTTTTTGGTCTTTTGGAAAATGTTGTTTGTGCTGTATTTAAACCCCTCTAACAAGAAATTTGTTTTGCATGCACACGTATAAAAATTGCGGTTTTTATCCAACGCAATCATAGGTTTGAACGTTGTTTTCAATTTAGACTTGTATAACATATATATATATATATATACCTTATTCTTTCCAATCTAAAATTACCGATAAGGTGGATTGCATGATTCCATGCCAGAAGGTTAGGGACATTGTGGTTGATTTCCAGTATTAGTAAAAACATTTTGGTGTTATATAGTATTGGTTATTAATTATTTGAAATTGTTTGTATTGTATTTATAATACCTTTATGTAGCAGTTCAAGGCTTATAGTGTGTACACTCTTTAATATTTCTACTGTAAGTCCTATATAACTAAAAGTGATAAAGGCAAAAGGGGTTGACATTTAAAAAAATTATTTGAACAGCCTTGTCCCGATTTCTGAACAAATTAAGCACACACATGTGTAAATTTCTTTAACGAAACGTTATTAAAAAGATTTTAACATTTAAATCTTTGCCGTATATATATAGAATTATAAATGCGTTACACTCATATCTTTATAATTTACCTCACTCGTTTTTATCTTATTTTCGTATTGTAGTCTTGCAAAAAAGACCATCACTAGATAGAAGATGTTCAATATTTTTCTTTATTTTTCACCACATTTCGAAAAAGGAGATGCAGTAGTACAACTTATTTTCCGATTTATTATCCTCGCTTTTAAATGCGTCTATCCAAGGCTCAGAATAAGATAATCAGTGTTCGGACTTTTGTATGCTGATAATTATTTTCAGTATCATATACTTTCTGTCATTTAGGTTTTTTATATAATTTTTTGTGGTAACTTCATCATTCGATAGATTGAGTTTTCTAAAACATTCTGTATGGAGTGAACTTTTGTTATCATTGAAGAGATCATGGTGACCTAAAGTTGTTAATCTTTTCCAAAGATATAAGCATTTATGCGTATATTTCAGGCAACAATCTAAAAGAAACAGTAGCCTACTCAGTATTTGTTAGGGTTTGGTATGATAAATACACATTTGCAATATTCAAGTCTCAAGGAATTACTGTTTTATCCAAGCAAGTTCCTGTAAATGATCTTCAAGGAGCAGCAGTAAGTGACTATTAGTTACTTTTTGTTAAAAAAGTGAAATTCCAATTTTTTACATTTTTACATATTATGTCTGTTTGTTTTGTTCACACATTGTTGTCAATATAATGGAATTTTATGCGACTGTCATACAAGTAGGAGGTTTAGCTAGCTATAAAACCAGGTTTAATCCACCATTTTTGACATAAGGAAATGCCAAGTACCAAGTTAGGAATATGACAGTTGTTTTCCATTCGTTTGGTGTGTTTGAGCTTTTAATTTTGCCATTTGATAAGGGATTTTCCGTTTTGAATTTTTCTTGGAGTACAGTATTTTTTGTTATTTTACTTTTTACTAATAATGATTAACTTCTGTATATATCAAATTGATCATTCCTTCATACTTTTGCTAATAGATATATAATTTATTATTACATGAATATAATGCCGTCTTATTAAGTCGAATGTTATCAGATTAAGGTATTTTTTATTTAGCAACGTATGGACATTTTTTTTTATTAAGAAACCATGGTCTAGAAGATATGCAATAATGTTACTTTATATAACTGATGATGAGGTCCAATGAGTTCAAAACAGTTTGAAAAAAAGCAACACAGAAGGAAATTTTATATAAGACATTTTCTTTTAGGTTGTGGAGAAAGTGCCAGGTTTTTGGAAGAATGATGTAGATTTTATCAAAGCAGGGACACTCTTTATGGTTTCTTGGGAAAACGTATTTCTCTCCATCCCGAATAGCGTTGAACAGTTTAATCTTTATCTCAGCAGTTTTTCCGGAGGTAATTTTGTATATAAAATGTTATTTTGATCTAAATGTACCATACAATTGATCCAATATTAAACAACTGATTGAATTATTTATATATTGAATATTTGACTTTCAAAACCGTACAGACCATTTTCTTCAAAATAGGTTGGAAGTAAGTACCTTCTGCAAAACACGTATTGAATTGTCAGCATTGATCTGAAATCGTTTTAAAGCCTAACTTCATCAACGCACACAATATACAGAATGTCGGTTATGATTTCATGGTATAATGTATAATAACATTTTCAAACTTTTACGCCACTTTTGAACATGACATTGTATTGTATTATCAGCTAGACATATTTAGGGTTTACCGTTTGCAATAATTTTGGAATGTAATCCATTTCTATAGGAAGTGACTTGCATACTGTGGACGTAAATATACCATCTTCTGCGTTTGCCTTCAACATAAGTCGATTAATGATGAAACCTGGAGTACGATACTACAACAATATTGTTGTGTCCACTTTGTCTGGACTAAAGACTACAGTATCATCTGATGGGATCACAGTAGACATGGCTGCACCTGTTACCGGTTTAGTTTATGATGGGATAGGTATGTTATGTCTTTGGCTTGATGCAAATTAATTATTAAGGATATTATTTACATCCTTACTTAAAAGTCTGCAAGAGAATATTAACTGTTAAAAAAACCGAATTTTTAAAATACTAAGGCTTTTCTACTTCAGGAATAGATTACCTTAGCTGTATTTGGCAAAACTTTTAGGAATTTTTGGTCCTCAATGCTCTTCAACTTCGTACTTTATTTGGCCTTTTAAATATTTTTTGATTCGAGCGTCACTGATGAGTCTTTTGTAGACGAAACGCGCGTCTGGCGTAAGTGTAAAATTTTAGTCCTGGTATCTATGATGAGTTTATTGATACAATACTAATTTTAATTTGGTCAAACCCAACGCTTCATATTATTGTTACCGGTCTAGTTTATGATGGGATAGGTATGTTATGTCTTTGGCTTGATGCAAATTAATTATTAAGGATATAATTTACATCCTTACTTAAAAGTCTGCAAGAGAATATTGATACAATATTAATTTTCATTTGGTCCAACCCAACGCAACGCTTCATTTTATTGTTTTGAGTTATCAGAAAAGAATCATACCTTAAAGTAAGCAGAAAAATGCAATGTCATCAGGTCACTCACAATAAGCTGTTGTCCTTTACATTGGGATTGTGTGGGGTATGTGAGCTTGCTCAATAACTTTTTTTTAATATGCGCAGATAAGCATCTCCTGCAAGGTATGCACCACCCGCCATGTTAGTTCAAATTCATATCCAGTAGAACGTGTCAAAGCCAAAGCATGACAAATCGGTGTTAAAAATCAGACGCACCACATGTGATATGTTCGATTTATGATACAGCCAATATACCACTATTGACATTTGGAGTTGAGACAAAGTTACAATTTGTGATAGCAAAACTTTTGAAGAAATCTCTCCAGTCCTTAAAACCTTCCTTGGGTATTTTATTTATTAATTTCAGTAAGCGAACTCGGTTTTTTATTATTGTTATTACTGCTATTTTTGTATATGTGGGATGAAACTTCTCTCTTAAATTTGTTGTTTTTAGATAATGTTCATTTTATTTATTATTAAAATAACTATATGGGCAAAAGACAAAGCATTATGTTGACATGATAAATGTTTATTTTTTTACAGGTTTACATAATAACGCTTACCAAAACAAATCCGACATTGTGTCTGCTAACTGGCATGGATTCCTTGATACAGAAAGTGGATTAAGTAGATATCATTGGTGTGTTGGAACAAAATCGTCAGATGATTTTTGTAACGTCCTGTCATGGAAAAATGTTGGTATGCATACATATGTGTCTAAAAAACTGACAACAGAAATTGACAATGGTAAATATAAAGTATTTTTTTCTTTTTATACTTATTTATGTAAATCCATGTGTAAATGTGTAAACATTCTGTAATGTGTCCGGAAAATAACGTAAGTGGTACTATTCAATTATTTCAGTCGAACTGTTGACTTGCTTTTTCAGAAAATTTCAACAAACATAATTTACTTTTCTTATCAGTACAGTTTTATATTTGACTTGTCTCTAGAAAAAAAACATGAACAAACGAGGCTAAAAAATTGGATTTCAATATTAAATACTTATTCGGTTTAAAAAAAAACGCTCATTTTAACTATCTTTGGTGCAGTAAAGCATTGATAATAAAATGTGCCACATGTAACTTTTGAACTTATCTAGGTGATACAGTTTACAGTAAAGTATATGCTGTCGACAGTGTTGGTCACATGTCGCCTATCATAGTATCAAGTGGAGTAACAGTAGACACAACACCTCCTGTGCCCGTCTCATTCAATCATTCATCGAACAACCTAGTACACAATCCATCCTTTGAAGAGACAAATGGGTGTTTTCTTGATTTTTCAAACATTTCATCCGAGTTGCTATGTGGAACTGATGCTTGTTTAAAACCAAAATCATGGCATGGTAACAAGGATGACTGTACAGTAATAATTCGATCTCATATAGACACAGCATATGATGGTCGATCATTTTGCTTTGTGCATGGCAAACTTAAACAGAACATAACCGGTTTCATACCGGGAGAAGTATATAGAATAACATTTGTGGCTGGTCATTCTCCACTATCAGATTCGGCAGTTCCAAACATAGAGGGAGTGGTCAAATTCGGAGATATTGAACATATATTTCTTATCTTCACCAAAGACCAAACACATGGCGTTATATCTCCAGGAGTGATTTGGCACAAACATTCGTTTTACTTTAAAGCCAAATCAGAGATTCTTGAACTTGCTTTAGGGAGTATAGATAGAAACACTGGTCTCCTATTAGATGATGTATTTATTGAACAAGTTCTTCCTCTGAATAGTGGCAATAAGGTTCATTTTACTACTGTTGCCTTACATCAGTGGTCATCTATCCATGCTTCTTGGTTATTCGAAGATACAGAGAGTCCAATAGTGCAATATCTATGGGCAGTTGGTAAGTGTTTAATAGAAAGTTCAATAGTGTAAGATCTATGGGCAGTTGGTAAGTGTTTAACAGACAGTCCAATAGTTCAATGTTTGGGCGTATGGTAAGTGTTTAACAGAAAGTCCAATAATGTAATATCTATGGGCAGTTGGTAAGTGTTTAACATAAAGTCAAATAGTGCAATATATATGGGCAGTTGGTAAGTGTTTAACATGTGTTTACTAAATATTGTATCTGAGTATACTTTGAACGATAAAACTTCATCATGGGGGTTTACAATCAGTTATATTTTTGATAATTAATGACCAGTTAACGTTTAAGATAAGTTATTGGTTAAAACTGAATAGTAAAAATTTATATGCAGATAGGGGAGAATATATAAAATTGCAGATATATGTAGCATTGTATATGTTTTTATAATAGATCAAGTATTCGTCCGAGGTCCAGACGTCGGTTTGAGAACCGGTAATGTTACGAATACAATTTTATGACCATATTAAAGCTGACAGCGAGCAAAGAGATGTCATGATTTGAAATAATTCGGCATAAGTGATGAAAAAGTTTTAAAATGAGAATTTTACGATCTCTTCAGTCAATTCTCAGATGTAACCCTTCCTTGTAGTGTTTACGACAACAAGTTATAAATGTATGTATTTATGTATTCGCAAATGCAAAGGCTTTTTAAAACTACTCATCATATTTTGCCGATTTTTATTGCATTTGTTCTTCTTTCATTTCATTTTATTTGTCATTTTCATTTTGCTCAGTTCTAAGGCACGTAAAACGTAACATTAAATATGAAATAAGGAGATGTATGATTGGCAATGAGTAATGTGTAATTATTTTTAACTAGGTTATACAGAAGGGAGTACAGAAATACAAGGTTTTACAAGCGTTGGCGTGAACACGTTTGGGTTTAACTACAACGTTACCCTCGTGCACTCCACAACGATATATGTAACAGTGATTGCAGTTAATGCTGCGGGACTCTCAACAAAACTACACTCCATTGATTTTTTGGTTGATCTTACCCCACCAGAAATAGCTTACGTTAACGATGGCACAGGTATTTTAAATAATATAATTCTAATCTAACGGTCTTTCGCTTCGTATATAAAGTAATATTCTGATTCCAACAAAACACGGGAAAACATGTCACAATTAAACTTATGTCGTAAGTTGTATTTTGAACAACGCAGGTGAACACAAGCATTTGATTGGATGAATTTTGCCAGTTATGAAATTCAATAAATTCTTAAGTTTATCATTTGAGGACCCTCTTGAAGTTAAGTTGTATTTCATGAGGTTGTCCTTTTAATTAAGATTTTTTTTTTCTTTCATTTATTTATTTGTACATTTTTAAATCATGAAACGTTACTGCAAACGTTTTCGCTTCATCAAAATCAACATGACTTTATGTCAAACGTGTCTTTTTTTGTTCACTTCGAATGGAGAAGTGTGCTATGTCCCTTCAGACTAGAAATAAATTATGAATCCATAGCTGATTTGAGAGTTTAACACTGATAATGTATCATTTTTTGAAAATTCTACCTTTCTTAACCTTCGGATACTCAATTTTACGCAAACATTGTAACTCGCATTAAACTCTCGGTAAACAGCGAGTTAGTAATATGACTGTTTTCATTTGTTGTTTTTTTTTATTGCAATACTATAAACTGTTAAGTTTGGTAATAAAAATCATGTGATATTGCTGAAAAATATGAGATAAGGAAATTTATTTTCATATATCTGTGGGTTTAGTTTTTAAAAAATTCTGATAATATATTTTTTTATTTCATATTTGACTACTTTAGCTAAACCATTACTTGGTATAAATATCAATGATCTTTCATTTCCTAAGGGTCAGATGTTGATGGGCAGGTTTCACATACAATATCAACTAATTGGAATGTTGTTGACGGAGAATCCGGCATTGCATATTGTGAATGGGCTGCTGGTACGTACATTAAGATACCAATACAATTTCGTGTTATAATCAAATTGAATTTGATGACCTAGTGATCACAGATATTTCCGCTTGCAGAAAAACTCATAACGGTAAATAAAGGCAACAGTAGTATACCGCTGTTCGAAACTCATAAATCGATAGAGATAAAAACAAATCCGGGTTACAAACTAAAACTGAGGGAAACGCATCAAATATAAGAGGAGAACAACGACACAACAAAAACACAACATTAAAATATAACACACACAGAAACGAACTATAATATAACAATGGCCATTTTCCTGACTTGGTACAGGACATTTTAAGAAAAAAAATGGTGGGTTGAACCTGGTTTTGTGGCATGCCAAACCTCCCGCTTTAATGGCAACGTCAAACACAACACCAAAACGACAACATCACATGACAGGACAACAATACAAATAAATGGGAGAACATATAGGACGAAGAAACACAAATGTAAATGTAAATGTCACAACAAAAATTAAAATTGAACGTCTTCTGTATTTCATATTTCACAAAGCATTGTAATATCATGTCAAACGTTTTCATTATCACCTGACCCAAAACATCAAAATTATAAGTTTTAACTAAAACATCAAATATACCAGGCTTATAATTTTGTACGCCAGACGCGCGTTTCGTCTACAAAAGACTCATCAATGACGCTCGAATCTGGGAACCCCAAAACTTGAATTTTTGCAAATTACACCAAGGGAAATCTTTTCCAGGGGTAGAAAATTCCTTATTATTTCAAACAATTTAAAGTTTTGTAAACAGTTCATTTATCCATATGACAGTATCACTAATAATTCACGTCAACACAGTAGTGCTAACTGCTGTGCTGGTGATACACTCAAAAGGGGGAGGGGTGGTGGCTACACCAGCAGTTGCATCGTCCCAGTGGTTGTAAAAAAAAAGTCATAAAAGATACCATGCTTAAAATTTTGTAGAACTGAGGCAATAACTCTTATCGAATATCTTTTTTTCACAGATGACCTCAAAATATGCGCCATTTGTCGGTTAACACTTCTGTCAACCCTTCATTCTCTATTTTTAAATGTGGTACCCTTTTTGGAGCAACTGAGATCTTCTCGGATTTTGGTAGGAATCTTAGTACTCGGAACTTTTCTGTGTTGTGTTTTAAGGACTGTTGTGCTAGACTTAACGGTCTCTGTGTATTCAGTCCCATTTCCCATTATTTTGAAGCCTTCTATGATTTTGTATGTCGATAAAACAGTTCCGTTTACCACTTATTCTTTATTAGATAACCGAATTCTACTTATCACTGAAATTAAACACATATATAGTAATCAAAAGGATAGTTTCCATTTACAAAGCAGGAACAGCCTACCATTTTGGAACACCTGAGATCTTCTCGGATTGTTTTGGTGGGAATCGTAGTACTCGGAACTATTCTGTTGTGTTGTTTGTTTGTCTTAATGTCTCTTTTTCTTTCTTTTTTTACATACATTTTTGTATAAATTTTACTTTTTTACAGCAAAACAGGTCTTCAATTCAAACTGAAAATAAATAATATATTACTGCTACTGTTTTCAGGTTTACAACTATTTGGAAATGAGATATTCGAATTTACAAAGACTGCTGATGTAATGAAAGCAACGTCAACGATGGACAGAGAAAAAGTTTTACATAAAAAGATCTACATAACAATTCGCTGTCGAAATGCGGCAGGATTATATACTACAGCTTGTTCTGATGGAATTGTTATTTCTGATGAATCTCCTTCGGCTCTAAATGCTGAACTGGAGATTTTGCCACAGTCTCTAACTGAATATCAACCTAGCAATTTTCATCAATCCAGTAAAACATCTGTTAAAATGAAATGGTCAGGATTTTCTGATCTTTTTGGAATCATGTCGTTTATTGTAAGTTTACTCTTCCCTTTATGAAAAGGTTTGAATATTTTAAGCAAATGATATAAGTTTAGTCACATAATCATTTTTAATAGTATTGGTTGAAATTAAGTTCCGAGTTTTCTGATACTTCTGTAATTTTTGGACAGACCGTGTATTCACCCTCTCCCACTTTTTTGCAGCATTCTATGATATTTTTTTATAATCACATAAAATGTGCATCTTACTTTGATTACATTTTTTAGAAAAAAATCGAAAATTTCTGGATTGTGCCATTTTGATAATTTTCACGGCATTATTGGTGCAGAAGACCCTTTTTGTGTCAATCACTCTTCCTACAGTTTTTAATCACTTCAATATCAGATTCCCTAATTTACACAAATAATTTATCTGATGGTCACTTCATTGTGATAAAGACTTATCAACGCAAATTTACAAATACAATTGATCAAAAGTCACATTATGGTCGTCTAAAACACAAAATGTCAGACGTGCATTCAACAAATTGATCTAAACAGTCATTGATGAAATTATCTGAACCCATCTACAAATCCCCTATTTTGGACAGGTAAATATAAAGCTGTAGTTGAGAATGTGTTCATTAACATGAATATGAAGGATATGTACGTTAAACGTCAATGAGACAGCAACCCAAGATAACAAGAACCAATGATATTCAGAGATCTTCAACGATATACAAGTATCTATAGTTTAACGAAATGTCAATCTCTAAATCGTCGTGATTCGTGAAAAGTCGTCAATGGAGAATGTTCAAATTGAGTAGGTTAATCTCTAAAACGCCTTGATTTTGTGAAAAGTCTTCAATGGAGATTGTTCATATTGAGTAGGTTAGTCTCTAAAACGCCTTGATTCGTGAAAAGTCGTCAAAGGAGAATGTTTCTATTGAGTTAGTAAATTTAAGGCAAAAATATTGTTCTGTTGCAGGTGAAATTTGACGGAAAGGATACCGATATAACGACCACTATTCTAAACGATAACAAAGATATATCGTATCTTTCACTGTTTGGACTAGAACTATCTGATGATATATACACGACAACTGTTAACGCTGTTAACACTATGTACCTCCGAAGTACAGATATAACAACAAACCTGACCATTCAGAACACTGCTCCATTACTCACTGGTAAGTATATACATGTAATTTTATAAATATAATGAGCGGGGAAGTTTTCTTACATGTTCTTTCATTTATTACCAGACTTAAGAAAATGATCATATCAACTTCAAAAAGATAATGAAATGATATCCGAAAGATCTTAACAGGGGGTCTGTTTTCTATTCATAAAAAAATAATTCTAAAAAGAGAGATGCATTAACGTCAATTACACAGCAAACCAACAAAACAAAACTCAGACATAATCAGAGATGCTATTTGAATGTATGGTACCATGAGTCTCTTAGTAGGACACTTTCCAAAAACGTAGAAACTTTTTGTGTTGCATAAAAAGAGGCAGAAGATACCAAAGGGACCACAAAAATTAACAAGTCGAAGAGAAATCATGGCAATAAAACTAAAACTGACGAAATATCAAACAACAGACTGCAAAACTAAAGACTGAGCAACACCAATCCTATTAAAAACCGGGGGCGATCTCAGGTGCCCCCGAAGGATAAGCATATCCTGCTCCACATGTGGCACCCGTCGTACGTATAATGTGACATTCATTCGTGACTATGTACTTATTTGTTGTTTAATTGCTTTTTTGATTTTTAACTAAGGTAGTTTACTATTAAATCGATCCATTCTGCTGTGCTATTTTTGCAATGCCAAAATGTCTCCATACGATTGCGTTCTTATTAACTACCTGTCTGGTAAATTTATTGATGCTGATAATAATAAGATATATTCTCATCTGGTATTTAGTACATTTTACAAAAACCAAGCATGTTTAAAATTTAATATATGAATAAAAGGAGGTGTTGGGTATACGTTAATGAGAAAGACAAAAAAACAATTAATAACCAAAAGATATTTATAAGTCTTTACTTCTAGATAGGTATCTATACAATATGTTTTATGACTGTATAGTTTTTGTTAACCTTTGTGCGTCTTTTAGGGGCTGACGCTTCCATAACAAGAAAAGAAGACAAAATTACGGTAAACTGGAAGGATTGCTTTTCATATCAATGGCGTATGGTATTTGAAATTTCAGTAGGAACAACTATAGGAGGAGCTGATATTATCCAATGGCAAGAAACCTTGAATGATTATATAGAAGTGGAAGTACCTGAAAAATTTAAAGATGACAATGAAGTCATTTTATTCTTTTATATCCGTGCAATTGGAGAAAGTGGAGAAAATACTTCACTAAGAACAAATACTGTTTTATAAATGGTTCATAAAGATGCATTATGATTCAAATCCTCAAAATCAATATTTTTTTAAATACTTTTATGTGCATATCTGAAACTGATTATTTATTTTGTTGTGATTTTAACACGCTTCGTAATAAGTGAATTTCAGCTAAATCCACTATTATTCAAAACTTAATTATATAGAATATGGAACTATATTTTATCATCTTGACAAAATATTTTAACTCAATTTGCAAAGCATTACTTTTCGGTGAGAATTTATTAAAAAGTTACCTGGTAAACTAGACTACTTCCATTTGATATATCTTATTTCCATACATTTTTATTCACTAAAATATCATAATTATCTAATCCGATCGATCCGGGGAGCGGTATACTGAAAAAAAAATCCGTTCGTCCGTCTGTGCGTCCGTTCGTGTGTCCATCCGTGTCCGTCCCTCCAGTCTTGTCAGAGTTCTCATACTTACATTTCCCTGGAATTTTGTTATGAAATTTGTACGAAAGTTTATATCTGCAATGTCGAAATTCAGAACTGATCAACTATTTCCAAGGGAGTTATGCCATATGAAAATGTAAATGCTATGGAGATTTGCATTGGAAGCACTCTCAAGCCTATATTTCTTGTCAATTTTTTTACGAAATTTATATTAAAGCTTTATGTCAGAAATGACTCGGAAGAGTTGGAAAATCAGCGCTAGCTAGCTATTCTTACGGGAGAAAGTTTCCTTGACAATGTAAATTTAAAGTTATAGAAAATTACATTGTAATGGCGTATAAAAATCACTGCTATTTTTAGGGATTTAAGCCCTTGGAAAAGTAAGCTATATGGAAAATCGCATTGTAATCGCTCTCAAAGCTATTAACCTGTCTGATTTTTATGAAAATTTTATCAAAGGTTTACCTTTCCAATTTGTTCAGATAAATCAGTGCCGCTCAACTATTTTTATGGGAACTATGCCCCTTGTGAATAAACATTATAGAGAATTTGCTATGTAAGCGGGCTCACACATAAAACTTTTTGAGGTTTTGTATCTTTACGACAAAACCCGAAAGGTCTTTAAAAACAGAAAGTATAAAGGAAAGTTTTCATATCCTTATTAATTAGGGAAGCGTGAATATACTAGGATCTGTGTTTTCAATCAGATTGTCTGACGCATACATTTCCTGATGGATTTCTTTGAAATTTCAATCAATGGTTTATCTTTTTACTAATGTCAAACTGAAAGCCTAATGCCTATTCCGAACGTTACACCACAAATGATATATATTCAGTAATATTAACGACACAAACCTCAGATTACAACGTCTAGAACACATAATGAATGACAAACTGTCTAAGTTAGACCTACTTGATATGTTTGCTGAGAAATTTGAAAAATTTGAAAACCACTTATCCAAAATGAGCAATAAAATAGATGATATTAGAAATGTTCAGCAGAAACACTCACAAACAATAAGTAAGCAAGAAAATCATCATCATAACATTGAAGACAGAGTGAGGAATCTTGAAAGCTCAAACAGACAATTGGAAAGTGAACATTTTGAGTTGAAAGAAAAATTTCTTGAATTACAATCTCAATGCATGAAGTATAACTTAATTTTTGGTGGTATACGAAATCGACATGGTTATGAGGAAAATACAGAAGAAGTATTGAGATCTTTTCTTTCGGGAGAAATGGAAATTTCTAATGTTGGAGATATACAATTCCAAAATGTACACAGACTTGGTGAGCGGTCTGACGGCAAGGAACGAAGCATTATAGCCCGTTTTACTAGAATTAGTGATCATGAGCGTGTTAACAGAGCAGCTGCGAGTAAACTAAAGAACAAACCACAATTTTCTGTATACCAGCAATACCCTCGTGAAATAAATGACAGGCGTAAAAAAACTCATCCCGAAGATGAAGGAATTTAAAAGGCAAAGACGACACGCAAAGCTAGTGTACGATAAACTTCTTGTAGATGGTGAAGTATACAACCCTGAAGCCCATCGTGAACCCCCGCCTACAATTCCAGGTCAACCGTTACCTAATAATGGTGGAGATTAGGACAACACATCAGACATTGATTACGGTCATTTAAATGACAATCATAATACTTTGAAAATAACCTTTCTAAATGTATGTGGTTTCAAATCAAAACTTTAAAATCCAGATTTTGATGTATTGATTAAAAATTAGGATATTCTGATATTTGTTGAAACTAAAATTGATGAGTTTGACGAGTTAAAATTACCAGATGGTTACAGCTATTTTGCAAAAAATAGAAAAAAAATGAGAAAAAATCAGGGGGTATAGTCGTAGTATTTAAAAAATCGCTTTCTGACTGCCTGAAATTTTTGAAGTCACACTCAGAATTTGTTCAGTGGGTGACATTTTCATTGAATTGTACTAACACTTTGCAGAGTAATAAAATTTTATTTCGATGTATTGTCATCCCTCCTAAAAATTTGAAGTATTCTTCAGAAGAAGCTTTCACTGAGATAGAAGAAGAACTTTTACTTTTTTCTCGTGATATTAATAATATTGCTCTTGTTGGTGGTTTTAACTCAAGAACAGGAAATATGAGTGATATTGTTGAAATAGACGAGAATCTGTTTGATGTGTTAGATATTGTTAATGAATCTGACATTATGAATGAAAATACATTGTTTGTAAATAACTTTATAAAAAAGGGTATCCTTCTTGAAAGGTATAATGAGGACAAAATTCGTGTAAATAATTATGGCAGAAAATTAATAGAGTTATGCAAACGATGTGCATTATGTTTTGCAAATGGTAAATTACATCAGGATAAATTTATTGGAAAAAACACTTGTAAAGACGCAAGTCTTGTTGATTACCTTATTTTGTCACTTGAAATATTTGACTTTGTTTTTTAATTTGAAATATTTGACTTTAATCCTACACTATCTGATGTTCATAATCAGATGCATTTTTCTTTATGCATTACAAATCAAAATTACACTGATCAACAAAATAAGAAAAACAACACTTACGTTCGATGGAATACAAACAAAGCACACGAGTTAGTCAGGTACTCAGTGATGACACAGATGCATTGAATTTAATCAAACACACCCTCGAAAATGTTCACATAGAATCCATTACACCACTACAGGTCAATGACCTAATAAGTGAACTCGGAAATGTACTTTTAGATACGGCTTCAACTGCGTTTGGACCAGCTGGTAAACAACCTCAAAGATCAACTCAAAACAAACCATGGTTTAAAAAAGACTGTAAGACTATGCGTGATGAGTTCCACAGAGCAAGAAGGAAATACAAAAACATCAAGACTGCTGATAACAAAACACTGATGAATATGAAGGCTAAAGAATACCGACAACTTCTTAATAAGAATTATAAAAAATACCATGAAAATTGCGCAAACAAGCTTCGAGCGTTATCAAAAACAAACACAAAAGCATTTTGGAATACAATTCACAAATTTTTAAATATAAGAAAAGATAACCCACAGGTGGAGATTAACACTTCTTTTGAATATTTTAAAAATTTAAATGCAAGTGAAGATAATGAGGGAGATATTAGTTTAAATATTGATAGTATTTGTGAAAATCCTGTATATGATGAGTTATTAAATGGAAAAATAACAGAGTTAGAAATATCTAAAGCAATAAAGGAGCTTAAAAATAACAAAGCTCCAGGTACAGATAAAATTTTAAATGAATATTTGAAATATTCAACTCCATTATTAATTTCTATATATTGTCAGCTTTTTAATTTAGTGTTAGATACTGGTATTATTCCAGAAAGCTGGACCAGTGGAATTATAAAGAGTTACCCGTCTGACCCTGATAATTTTTGGGCAATCACTTTTGGGAAATTATTTACGTCTGTTATAAATTCTAGATTAAATATTTTTGCTAACGAATTGAGTCTCATTTCCGATAAACCAAGATGGTTTTAGGAAAGGATATTCAACAGTTGACAACATTTTTGTATTGCATACTCTCATTGAGTTATATTTCTCGTTTGGCAAGAAGCTTTATTGCACTTTCGTCGACTTTAGGAAGGCGTTCGACACCGTCTGGCAATCGGGGCTATGGAAAAATTACAAAATTGTGAGATTAAAGGTACATTTTTTAACATAAATATCTTTAACATGACATTAAATCTTGCGTTCAGTATAATGGTGACCAGTCTGAATTTTTTCCTTGTCTTTACTGGTGTAAGACAGCACCGTTTCTTTTTCTATATTTCTAAATAATCTAGAAAGTTATTTCAGCCAATTAGACGGAGAACCTCTTAATATTATTAAAGAGAAGCTCGAGAGTGAGTTGCACATTTTTTATAAATTATTTGTTATTTTATATGCAGATGACACTGTCATTCTGTCTGAAAGTATGGAAGGTATGCAAAGAGTTCTAGACATTTTTCAATCATATTGTGATATATGGAAACTGCAGGTTAATGTTAATAAAACTAAAGTTATGATTTTTTGTAAAAGCAAATCAAGACAGAATTTTATTTTTACTTTGCAAGATTGTAACCTTGAAATTGTTGATACATATTCATACCTATGTGTTATTTTCAATTTAATGGAACGTTTATAAACACAAGGAAAAAACTTGTAGAGCAAGCACAAAAGGCGTTATATTGCATTTACAAACTATTTCGTAATTAGATATACAATTAAAAATGTTTGATTCTATGGTTGAACCAATTTTATTGTACGGGTTAGAAGTGTGGGGCTTTGAAAACCTGAAAATTATTGAACAAATCCACTTGAAATTCTGTAAAAGAATTTTAAAAGTTCGAAATTCAACTGCATCATTTATGGTTTATGGAGAACTTGGGAGGTTTCCACTCGAAATTCGGGTCAAATTGAGGATGATTTCTTTATGGGGTAAATTAGTATTAAATGAAAATAAACTTAGCAGTACATTATAAAAGTTAATGCTATGATTAAAAAGCAATCATGGAGTGAATTTCAAGTGGATAAGCCACATAGAATCTATATATAATGAGTTAGACATGAACTTTATTTTTTTAAACCAGTTTGTTGTATACGAAAAGGCTTCAGTAAATTTTGTGTTACCAGTTTATACAAAAATGGTACAGTGACTTACACGCCACATCGCGTGGACAATTTTATTCACTGTACAAAAAGAGTTTTGAAAAAGAAAAATATCTTATTAGTTTACCAGAGTCATTTAGAATTTGGATTTCTAAATTTAGAACTGCAAATTTACGATTGCCTATAGAAACTGGTAAATGGTACGATATACCAAAATTAGAAAGAATGTGTTATTTATGCAAAGAGGATATTGGTGATGAATATCATGTATTATTTATTTGTAAAAATGCAGATATAGTAGAATTGAGAAACAGATATTTACCACAAAATTATAGAAATAATTCAAACATTGTAAAAATGGAAGGTCTTTTGTCACTTTGCAGTATGGAATTATATAAGAAATTGTCAGTGTTTATCAGAAAACTGTCTTCTCTTCTTTAAATTTTATTTGTATTAATATAGTAAATTGAAGTCCAAAGTGTGAAGTTGTACTGTCATATTTGTTTGTATTTAATCACATGTTCATTTTTTGTCATATTTAATGTATAATATGTTATTAATAATGACCTCTTGTAATACATTGTATATGTGTCTGAGTGTTTTCCTAATAAATCTTTAATCACATTTAGCTTATCACATAATACTTTGTGATCAACCGTATCAAATGCCTTCTGTAGATCGAGTAAAACCAAGCCAGTAAAAAGACATTTGGCAGTTTTTGATTTTATGATCTGTTAAATGTATGAGACAGCTATCGGTAGAAAATGAGTTTCGAAAACCTGATTGAAATTCATACAAAATATTATTTTCTACTAAAAATGACTCTAATTGTAAATATACAGCTTTTTCTAATATCTTTGAAACAATACTTAAGATACTGACAGGGCGATAATTTTCAGGCTTTAATCGATCCCCTTTCTTGAAAAGAGGTTTTATTTTAGCAAGCTTTAAATCATCAGGCACAGTTGCTTCTGATATAGACATATTTATTAAAAAAGTAAAAGGAAGCTTAATAATAGGACCTGCGTGTCTTAAAAACTTGGCTGGCATACCATATAAACCTGTGCTTTTTGTAATGTTTCGATTACACAACTCTTTATTAATACAAAATCTTAAGAAATATGTTTTAACATTAATACATTTTCAATTGTTTTTCTTATGTCATAAAAAAATTTCACAATAATAGATGCCGCTTGAAAAATCTTTTTAGGATTCGGTAGTTTTTCAACCAACTTTGCAGCAATGGTGGTAAAAAAGTTATTAAACTGGTTGGCTATTTTAACATTCTCAAAACAATTCTCTCCTTCAATGTTGAGAATGACATTGCAATCAGATTTTTTTTTTTTTAATTTTGCATACTTTATTGAAAACTTTCACATTTGTTATTTGGATTCAGAAAGTACCGGTACCTTATCCCGGCCTTGTTAAACATTAGATTGTATATTTAGATAGAAAATAGTAAGTAATTGTTAGTATTCTAAATTATAAAATATATAAAATTGAGAATGGAAATGGGGAATGTGTCAAAGAGACAACAAC